TCGTGTGCCCCCGGGCGAGAACACCCACAGATCTCCCAGCCCGCCCATCTGATTGGTCGTCTGGTCGTCCCCACCGTACACCACTAAACTGAACAAACGTAATATAACGCGGAGGGGGGGGGGGGTTACGAGGCTTGCAAATTTTCCTAGCCTCTTGACACCTGTCTTACGCGTCGTCGCTACAATACCCTATGATAGACCTCTAGTCGCAAGGTTGGATGGGTGGGTGGAATCGTGGAGGAGGTGCTTTGGCGAAAAGGGACACCGACGGCCAAAAATGCACGCCAAAAACACAAGCAGCAACTAAAACAGCAGCAAGCAGCCGCCTTCCCCCAGACGGACCCGATACAATTCTCCCGTCCTCCCTGCACCCATGATTTTCGTCACTGGACATTGGCATACAATCAGATAGAGGTACCTGGTTGAATCTCCATCACGATTGCATACACGCGGTCGCTGCTTCTGGACAAGAGCCGTCGATGCTACGTCACACTTGCGCGCCGGTTCGAAAACGAAGTCGAAACTTTTGAGTCTACGTAGGCTATATTTGGGAGGAGCCGGGGAGGGAATGTGCTGTCATACGCGGTGCAAACGCATCCCTGCAATGCTGCGACGGGGCGACATACTGGGTTCTCGCCGGCCCAGGGTATGTTTCGCAGGAACGAACCAGAAACTCAAAAAGTGGGGTGCTTACATTTAGATTCACGATTTCTCTCATCGCTATTAAATCTCAGGTCACAGCAGTCCGTGTTGTGTGCGGGGCGCGCAGTACAACTGGGTGGAGTTCATAGTGGTTCTCCTTTCATGAAATGAGAGCAACTCTCTTGAGGAACTTTCCGTCTCTGAAAGAAAGTTGCACTTGAAATGAAATAAAACACACACACACACACACACACACACACACACACACACACACACACACGGGATCCCAGATCATGGCCTCTAGGAGTACTTTGTGTTTTCAACCGCACTGAAAGTGACATATTTTCATTGGTTAGGGCGGCCAACGCTAACATACCTGGCACCGTACGCCACGCTGTCGCCGGTCTGCCATCGAGCAGACGGATGGACGTGCCCGACCGGGACAACCTGTAACGGTTCAAATCGAAACGGTACAAAACGGCAGACAAAGTGGCGACAAGGACAAAGTTACGCCGTGATGCGCCGCATGTCCCACGCATCAGCGGTGGTCATTGTTGGTGTCGTTTCAGTATACGGTGATATGCGTCCGCGTGCCGTGATGCGCCACCTGTTCGCGTTAGCGGCGGGTGTTGTTGGTGTCGCCGAAACTTCCGGTCGTGTGTATGTCCTTCTGCGGTGTCCCACGACCAAACCCTTTCTTCGGCTGCTACCGAAGGCAAGCACCGCTGGAGGAAAGGCGAGGCTTTGAAAAACAACAACAAAAAAAGGCTCCTGGATGACCCCGGCTGATACGGCCAAGATTTTCACCGAACGATATGCTCACTGGCGCCAGAAACGAAGGAATGAACACAAACAAACAGGATTTCGCATTTATTTGTCGCTGCACCGATGGCGTGGGCTGACGCGCACAAACTTACAAGCAGAGGTATCCACTTGCGAGTTCCTGCGCTCACAGTGCCTCGAAAAGGAAGGCATACCACCGTAATTCCACTTCGCTGACGCCCGACTCAAGTTTCGGCTTGCTTGGGAATTGTGTCGAGAAGTGGCAGCCAGGTGCGCACATGTGCTTCGACTCAAGAAAAATGGACCACCAAAACAGAAGACTTCAACGTTACCCTTGATGTCCACCTCCTATGACGTCTATCGGCGTCGCTTCAGGTACGAGCAACAAAACTACAAAAGGAGACACATTCACAAAAGAGTAACGGCGTTCCCCTAAACAGCATGTCATTCGATCCGACAGAGACCGTGAAAAATACTTGGGGGTAAGGGCACAAAGAGCAAAAAATATCACGGGCGCGCCGCGCGTGTGTGATGCGACTCTTTACTTTATTCCAAGCTCACAACAGCAGCAAAAAAAAAGAAAAAAAAGAAACAGACACACAGACACAGAAGGCGTATAACCTTGTTCCACCGGAAGCCCGTGTTGGTGATGTGCAGCGCCCACATGTCGGACAGGTAGGAGAGCTGGTCGTCTGCCCGCTTATTGTAGTAGTCCACTCTGCGGACCCCCCGGACAGCAGCCAACCATACGCACGCACGTACACACGTCACGGATGTGTGCGTGCAAACAGCACGGCAGCGCGAAGCGAAGCATCGTCATCGAGCAGTCCAAAGTTGTCGGGCAAAGAAGAAGACGAGCGACAAAAGCACCATTATTCATCGTCGTGCAACACGCCGCTGCTTGCTAGCACAAGCTTGGTTGAGCAGTCACGCCGACCTCTCTGCTTTCGCCGTCGTTTTCTATTGTAGTTGCCAAACACATATCAGGCCCCGCGGCTATTGTTTAGCAAACGAACACGCGACGCGGACGACACAAGAGCTGAGCCAGAGGGCTGACCGTGGGCGGCTCGCAGCGTTTGTTTGTTCCTTCGATTTCTTCCTTCGTGTCCACCCAATCAACGTCACTCACTCTTGCATGAGAATGGCGACGAAGAGACGGCGTGCATCCAACGTTCGCAGCACACCACTACAAAAGTACCGGCACCATCACTGAAGCCACCACCGAAAGCATTTTCTTAATACCACGGCAGCACCGCATGCCTCTCCCTCCGTCCGTCCAAGTCTTATCCAGGTGGAGAGGCGACAACGACGGCATACGAGCATTTCCAGCCTTCACCCCTTTCCCAACACATGGACCAATATCTCACTCTCCCCGCCCCCATCCCCTCTGCGTGTATGTGTCTGTCTGTCTCTCTCTCACCCTCTCCCGCCAAACACCACGACGCGCTTGGCCGTCTCCACCAGTTGGCTATCCGGGTTCCAAACCGGCATCCACATGTTCGCCACGTCCGCGCCTGCCCTGCAGAACGGCACGCTCGGCAGCTGCATCATCCCGCTCCCCCCCCTTACCGCTGCCGCCCCCCCGTCCCCCTCTCCTTCTACCGCCTCATCGACCGTACCGGGGTCTAGGCCAGCAGAAGCACTATTACCACCCGGTGGTACCGCCGTCGCCGCCGAGACTTCAGAAAACAGAAGAGGCAGCAGGAGCAGGGCTCCGGCGGCGGCGGCGGTGGCGGCGGCGGCGGCGGCAACACGACTGGTGGTGGTCCTGTTGGCGTTTCGTTGAGACGCCTGCTTATCTCGCAACGACCGTCGTAGCGATCGCTCCCTCATCGTATGTAGCGGCCGGTGGTCGGTGCGGATGAATTGAACCCCTGTCGGTGGTGTGTCGCTGGCGGGAAGGGAAGGGGGAGGGAAGTAGGCGCCGGTGAGTTTGGGTACAATCTTCTTCGACCATCTTAAGTGTTTTTTCGGAGATATGTGGGAATACAAGACATCAAGACATGTGACCTGTTTGGGCTTGTAATTTGATGGTTTCAGGGTCTAGAAGGGAAACGCTCTGCATATTTCGTGCGCATGTACATCTCGAGTCTCTCTTTCTCTCTCTCTCTCTGCAATCCCAAAACCTCTGTTCTTTGTCCTCTGTCTTTTCTCCGTCTCTCTTGTTGAATCATGGTATACACTAGAGCCACGGATGAGTCGCAAAGTCCTCGGCATTTATTGAACACATCGGACTGCCTCATCAGCACCCCTTGACCATCAATGCACCAATATTTATGCTGTACCATCAGGTAGGGCGACGCTTGTGGGCGAGCGAGCCAAGCGCGTTGCCGCAAACCGGCTTGATGCACAGCCCCCCAACACACCAACACACCAAGTGACGTCGTATCCGGAGAAAACAGCGTTTCCAAGGTACAGGAGGTGCGACTTCAGACTAATACGGGCGGCGGAGTGTACACAAACACCAGAGGCAGGAGCATAGCAGTGTGTCTAAGCAAGGTTCACCGCAAGGCACCCTAGTACTTTTCCCAATCTCCGAATCACCCAGTTAGTTACCGCTACCCGCTCCGTGCATGCATGCATCCGCACGGTTACAGGGGCTACAACTCGAGCGCAAACGCCGACCAGGGACAGCAGCTGTGGGCAAGGTGCATGCACATGATGTGGTACGCAAATGTACCACGTCTGGCTTCGTATGCAAGGGCCGGTGAACGTGCCTTCCCAGTGGCAACACACCGCTGCTGTCTGTTGGCGGATGCCCCAAGCCATGTAGAAAACATATCCGGGGAATGAGGGCGGCACATGGCCATCTAAACAGCTACAACTAGTACTTTGGAGTGGCAGCATATACCATACACCTATACTACGGTTGTTGAATGCGGGCAAACCGCGCCAAGTTGCAGTTTTAGCCAGCGGCTATCGTATGTAGACCACCACCACCACATTCGCCCAAAGGTTGGGTACTTTCGAGGGTACACCGGCGTTCGGATCCCCTGCACAGGTCAAGAGCGTTTTGCATATAATGATGCTACACAGTAGCAGCGTTGGGTAGATAACAAGCTCATCGCGTTGTTCCCTTCGCCGTCCGCATGAGCTCTTCATCCTAGATGCATGGCATATGGAAGGGATGCGTACGTACCCTGAGCAGCAAACATGACTCTTAGTCCAAGAGACACAACGCAAGAGGTGGTGACCCGTGCAGCGACAGAGATAGAGAGAGAGCTGTCGAGCGGTATGAAAATACGCCAACCTCCCCATATCATGATGTACTTGCTTGCTTACCATAGCGCAGCGTATGCACAGCAGCAGCACGTTGACATCCCACAGGTAGGTACGGTATGCATAAAACATGACTTACCCCACAGATCGATTAGTGATCTCCCAATGCTATTTCAGCTGTGAACTTCTTCACCAATGGACCAAGAGATAATCCTGCGCATTCGCACACTGCTGCTTTTACTCCTCCAAGGTGTGCCGGTGTGCTCCTGCCGTGCGACAGCGGTAGATGCAGGATGTTCCGTGTGCGTGGATGCGGATGCTCGTGTTGGCCCTCGTGAAGACGGCGCCCCACAGGCGTTGCTGGGGGCCCCGTATGGCTGCTTTCTTCGTTTTTTCCGACCAAAAAACTCCCCATCTGCGCGCCCCCAAAACACGCTTAGCCATAGGGTTTGACAGAAACCTTGCAATAGCTCCCGCTGTAGTGCTGATCCGAATTTTTACCAGGGTGTTTTCGGCACCTAACACCCCAATAAGCACACCCTCCGAGTATCGTGCGATTCGAGCAACTCTACGAGGTAGTAACTTTGGCGTGAAGCTCCGTGCGGGGGTGTGGTATCTTCCGTTGTCGGGTGCACCGCTCCATCTTGGTCCGCTGGAGAGAACGTCCTGAACGCCGTCCGTGGGCCAGAAGCTGGATCTCTTGGCTGCAGGTGGGTGGGAGACATGGAGGCAGTACTAGGGGAGTAGGTGTCAGAGTGATTTCAACGCCAGGGGCTTCCAGGGTCGTGGATTTGTGCTGTTCGGTGGCGTCCGCACCCTTCATGTGTCCGCGCGCAACAGCACCCTGACACCCTCGCTGCTGCTGTTGTATGGGTCGCAACTTTGGGCCGGGCACCCCGAGTGCTGATATGTGACAAGCACGAGAGTTATTCCTATCCAACATGCTCACAGCAGAACTTTGTGCGCCAACAACGCCGATCAAAGTAGCATGAATTTTTTGAATTTGAATTATTTTCAACGGTCGTTGGTACGCTGCTGGCACCTGTGTAGCCGTACAGCAGTAGCACATAGAGCAATTGCGACGCACGCCCCAGTCTACCGTGCACTATGGATGTAGCTGTTCATCGCTGTCTCCAGTACCAGGCGTTTAGTCGTTTTCGGCAACTCATGAAGAGATACAGCAGACACGTAGACACGTAGACTAGTTGTCAAAAAAACGTCGCGTGTAGTTTTGATCAATGGAAAAATAAACTCTCCAGTCAACATACTACATAAAAGGTACATACAAATTATAGACTCCAATAATATTATTAAAGTAGTCTACACAGGGAAACCCCATTTTCTAAAATTTATTTCTTGTATTGGCAGGTGAAAAATGTTTCGGTTAGGGGGCGTGGGCATGAAGTCGCAGCCCAACTCTGGCAAAGGAGATTGTGGCCCACGCACCATGATCGATCTTTCTCGACTTACATACAAGTCCAGGTTGCACCCCGAAACAGTCCACGAGCTTCGCAGCAAAGTAGCCGATCTCGGACGCAAAGCGACCCACCCACTCTGTGTGGAATTTGGGCAATTCGCTGACGACTGTACAGCCGGCGACTACGAGGCGGAGGAGGGACCCATCGAAGAATTGCTGCCCGACCCTCTCCTGCCCATCATCAAGCGGGCTACATGGGTGAAGGTGGCGGAAAGTGGTTGGTGGGACGGGAAACACATGGAGGCCGCGGCTGTCGTTTTAGGTCTAGAAAACTTCAGGCTCGTGAAGGCGACGGAAGAAGGGGAACTCGTTCCGTGCTACGGCGCGAACGACCTGCAGCCACATTTCCCTATGGCGATATGGCACCCATGTGGGCACTTCGAAGCCGTGGTCAAGAACATACCGCAGACGGCAGCCAAGAAGCCCGCCGCAGCCAAGGAACCCGCCGCAGCGAAGGAGCCCCCCGCCCCCGAGGAACCCGCCGCAGCGAAGGAACCAGCCGCTCCCAAGGAGCCCGCCGCCCCCAAGGAGCCTGTCGCCCCCAAGGAGCCTGTCGCAACCAAGCAGCCACGCGTGGTCAAGAAGCCCGCCTCAGCGAAGACGCCTGCCGCAGCCACGGAGGATAGAGACGGCTGGGTTCTCGTGGGAAAAAATGGACGCCCGACGACCGCGGGTGGTCGTGGTGGCCGTGTGGATGAGCGTGCCGAGAGGAGCAACGCCATCGACGAGGTGTGTACGATATGTAGGCTATTCAGCGTCGGTCGCAAAGCATGTAATGCTACACGTGTATAGGCTCGAAAACTATTCTGATGCGCAGCGCTTTCGTTGTTCCCGTCCAGGACTCGAGCCTTGTGGCCAAGTTTGATACCGGCAACATGTACACCTCGCTGGATTGTGGGGAGGAGGTGAACAACGAGGGGGAAGGAGATGACGTGGGATTAGAGACGGACGAAGCCATGGAGGAGGGGGAGGGAGCCCGCGTGGGATGGGGGAGCGAGAATGGGGTGGAGACGGCGGAGACCACGGAGGAGCGCTCTACGGCTTCGCACGGGTTCGTTCGTAGGGGGGTCGACATTCTTCACACGGCGGTGTGGGCTGTTGTCACTGGAGTTGGTGGCGTGATCGATCGCATCGCGAGTGCTCCGTTTGGCCGCGACGAAACGGCGGACAAGGCCTACCCGGTGAGAATACTTTCTTTGCACTTGAAACTGTATAGATCATTGCCAGCAAATTACGACGGATCCTTATCGTTATCCGATATCCCCGTTGGAAAAACTTTACTTTGTCGCAATGCTTACTAGTGCGTTGTTTCTTCACGGTCACGTCGTTGCAGCGCGGCACCTCGGGCGCCACCGATCATCACGGAGACCATGGCATCGCCGACGATGCGAGCGAGTCCGATGAGACGACACCCAACGGCAGCGACAATGGCGGCACAAGTGCTGAGCATGCCACCTCCAGTCCGGTAATATGTCTGACTACAAGTTTTGCGTCCCCAACAAATTGGTTTGCTAGGCGACACAGATATGTGTAGCCAAAGCCTTGCTATCGATCTCCGGGCTCTTCGTTGCGTCGTAAATGCGAGTCGTCATGTTCGGCGCATTAGGTAAAGCCTTTTTTGGCACGGGCAACAGTCGAGATTGTACGTGGGTGAACCCGGCACTTCCTCGCCCATAATTCGCTCTTCCCATATAGGACGTCCTACATACCCGTCTCGACAAGATGTCCTATTTTCTGAAAATGCCGCAGGCCAACGCCCGTCGTCGACCGCGCACCTCTCGTCGTAGGCGCACCGCTCGTCGAAGGCGTACCTCTCGTCGCCGCCGCGCCGGTCGTCGCCGCGGCACCCCCCGCAAATGTCGAATCATCCGTGGCAGGCCCACCGACCAGCACGGAGACCAAGGCATCGCCGACGAGGAGAGCGAGTCAGCGGAGACGACACCCAACGGCAGCGACAATGACGGCACAAGTTCTCAGCATGCCACCTCCAGCCCGGTAAATATTTCGAACCACAAGTTTTGCGTCCAAAATATACCGCCTTGCTTTGCTACACCGAGATGTGCAGCCAGAGGCTTGCTTTAAATCTCCGGGCTGTCCTCTAGGTAAAGTATTTTTTGGCACGGACAACAGTCGAGATTGTGCGTGTGTGGACCCGGCACTTCCCCGCCCATAATTCGCTCTCCCCCTACAGTAAGCCCTGGTACATACCCGACTTGACAAGATTTAAACCTATTTTTTCGGAAAACGTTGCAGGCCAATGCCCCTCGTCAACGGCGCACCTCTCGTCGGAAGCGCACCTCTCGTCGGCGGCGTGCCGCTCGTCGCCACTGCACCCCCTGCAAATGCCGAACCATCCGCGGCAGGCGCTACCGCCCCACGGGTTCTGGTTGTCTTGGCGTGCATGGACGCACCGCCGTTTTGCCCTCCACGAAGACCGCCACGACGATTCGCCTGTTTCCAGCCTCGTTCATCCGCCAGTGGTTGGTGAAGGATGGGTCCGTGGACGGCTTGGAGCGGGCATGCTTCCGCGGTGGAGCCTTGTCGGTGAGTGTGTGTTTTATGGTGAACTGTGGTTCGTTCTGTGTGCTTGTTTCGTGAGCTTAGATCGGATTTAATGCATGGTTTCAACTAGTTTGTCGTTTTGCTGTCGGACGAGACACAGAAAGTCCCAAGCAATGGAATGAAAACCCAGCCGATGATTGCACATTGATATTGCATTGAGAACGCAGATCAATTGGATTAAGTCCAAGGAAAATGTCTCCGTCGAACCCCATCGATTACTACATGCTTCCCTCTGGAATGTGAGACATGGTTGACAGAACCAATGGATGCGAATGGTTCTGTTTGCGCACAAGTACGCCAAGCACTGCCTGGCAGATGAACGTGGGGGAGGCGTCCGCAGATGGTTAGGGGCTCGATCTCAATCACGCCAGTCATGGAGACCTTTGAATAGCCTCCAACCCCACATATCAAGAAGCGCGTAATCTAATCACCTCTGTAGGTTTTGTTTTCTCCGGTGAAATAGAAGCTAGGCTCTGTCATGTCATGAACACCTCACAACAGCCATCGCCGACGGCATGTATCCGCTCGGGGGACACGTAACATCCATAGGGTTAGATTTGGATTGTACCTCAATGCCACGATTGTTGATTTTAAAACACAGCAACGGATGCTCGTTGTTTCAGAGGTCGCCTCCCCCCTGCCGCTACCCGGACATTTGTTTCAACTGTCAGCACGAAGGAATCCGGATCATTGGCGAAAAGGTGGTCACCTTGCGAGGGTTGGACTGTATGAGCTCCCAGCTAGGGGTTTGTTTCAGTTCGAACGATAGCGGGGACGGGCCCGGGGGCATCTGCCATGTATGCGGCCAGCAAACGACAAGCTTAGCTCGGTTGTGTCAATCGTGCTATGATGAGGGCAAGTCGTACCCGAGTGATCACTGTTCTGTGTGCCTTCTGAGGTTCGGTGACAGTCGAAAAAAAGTCAGCCTCCCAAAGAAGCAGGGTGCCGCAAAGTTCGCCGCGTATCTTCGAGGGGATACGGAAGACGCCGTGACATTCCGGGCAACCTACGCTCAACGTCGTGACCTTTTGAAGTGTCCCATCCGCGAAGGTGACCCTCTGTGTAACTCCAGCCAGTGTCTTTACCGTCACCGGAAAAAAGCTGTGGCGCAAGGACACCTCGCGCGACAAGTGCCATCGAGCGGTGAAACGAGACCTGGACCGAAACCAGCGGGCCTGACGGGCCCATGTCCCCTTCCATCCTGTCAAAACCGGATAGAGGAACCCAGAGCTCGTCGGGCTGGGGCGCATTTCGAGAGTTGGGAAGATTTTTTCTCCCACGCAAAGAACTTTCCGATTTGGAAAACGGTGGGTAGGATTAACCCGGAAACCGCAATCTGCAATCGTTGTTATATGGACTGGTACAACAACAATGGCAATCACCGCAAAGAAATGGCGCAACGGGAATTCAGAGGGGTTAGGTCTTACAAGGAAGCCGCCGAGAAAGAAGAAGGCTACCTGAACTGGTACAACAACAATGGCAATCACCGCAAAGAAATGGCGCAACGGGAATTCAGAGGGGTTAGGTCTTACAAGGAAGCCGCCGAGAAAGAAGAAGGCTACCTGCCTGTCCTCGAAGCGGCAATTGTCAAGGGTCTCAGCAGTGGAGACGGCGGGAGCGTACGCTTTTTCTCTAAGCAGAAGCTTTTGCTACAATTTCGTGTCAGAGTGCTTCGAGAAGTTTTGGCCGAAAACAAAACCGTGACGGTGGACTACCTGCGGCAAGTGCTCTTGGAGATGATCAACAAGGCTGATCCGGAAGGGGAGATTTTGGGGACCGCGAGCCCCAAAATACATGCTTTGCGGAACCGATTTCACCCCGACATTTTTTGGGTTCACTTCGTTTTTTATGTTCCAGTCGTATTTCGAGTATGTCAAGAACCCCGAGAACCATCGGTTTCTAAAGGCCCTGGGTGAGCATGCAGTGAAGGATGGAGCGGTTGCCGGGGTGGCTTTGGAAAGGGAAGAGCTGATTAAGTTTGTCGCCCTCGCTTACTTTAAGAAGTACCAGGCATCGTTTTTGTATCCACCCGGGCACCAAGTAGAGCCTATTGTTGATCCAAAGAAACGCAACGGAGCGGTAGATGAAACGAAGGCATGGGTTGATGCGATCCACGTACGCACGTCCGAAGCGGCTTACGGCCAAGGGAAGGTCAGAGAGGCTGCCCCTAATTACGATGTTCTCGACCTCTGTGTGCTTCGGATGGAATGGCTGGTAGAATATTGGCTTTCTATTGTGCCCGTTAGTGCTGCAGGCTCGGAACCCTCTGAAAACTATCCCATTGCAGTTCCCGAGTGGAACAACAAGGGGTACTTGAAGGACCCAGAAGTAGACGGATGTTGTAAGATGTTGTTGCGCAGAGAGCCGAAGGTAACCATCTGGCCGGGCGGGGTCGAGACGGTGAAATGTAGATGTTCTGATGTACCGGGAAGGGGCCAATGCACGAGCTGCGTCTGCAAACAGAAAGGGTCAATTTGCTCAGAGCTGTGCAAATGTAAACGAGCTTGTTGCGTGGAAGAGACTAACCCTAGTGCCATGCTATTCGATATCGGTGGGGGTGAATCGACAGAAGGGGAGAGCGACGACGACCAATCCGATGATGATGATGTTTTGCCTGGTGTGGGCGGTGCGGGCGGGGGTATAAGTATTGGTGGGTTTCGCGAGGATGATATTGCAGAGTACGAGCAGCGCGACCAGATGGATTGGACCAGTCGACGAGAGCAGTTGGTTGTATCGCCGGGCGAACCGGTTGCTGCCTCGTGGGGGGCAGGGACAAATGAAAGGTCTGTGTAGGTGTGGAGAAAAAAAAAAAAAGGGAAATGTACGTGTTTCGAGCCGGAACATCACGTGGAGTCGAAGGTGCTGCAAATGTTCTACATCGACGTATTTCAGGTCGAGGAACAGTATACACCACTTGCTCACGTGGTGCACCCACCCGCCAACACGTCCAAAACGGGTACGCGAACAGCCCCCACGCTAACTTGCATTGTGTCCTTCAGCACCGAAGATTCCGTGTGGCTTTTGACTCCCATCACGAAGGCATTGAACCGCGGGGGCGGCTCTGCATTATTCTACGTTTTTTTTGGAGGGCGAGAAGCAGCAGTAGTCGGCAGCGCGGAACACGATGGTATAGACCATTCTTCACTCAACCAGAATCACCAAAAAAACAACTTTTCTCAACGCCAGGGCGCCCTGCGCCCTTCCTACACGCACCCCTATTTAGGGCAGAACACGAGCCTCGACCCCCTACTGTCGCCGCAGCAGCCTCCATCGGTGTACCACACACCCCAAAATTCTCCGACTTTCACGTGGTGAACACGTGTGTACTTGGCCCTCCGTAAAAAAACGCACACAGCCGGGGGGTTATCTAGAAGCCAACCACCACGGTCGGCACAGGGCTCTAGGAACGACAGCGGCAATTTCAGCGCCGCGCCTTTCGTCGCTACCGCCAAAGCCGCCCTCACAAACCCCACTGCACCCTTGTATGGAGGGCTCGTGACGACCCAGTCAGGTCGCTTTCCGGGGTTGGCTTTGACAAAATCATCCGGAAAAGAAAGCAAGCTTGCGTCCAGGTTGGTACCTGGCGAGAGCCTTGTGTGGCGGACGGAATATGCATTGGGAGGTAAAGTGTGAGTGCGCCATCGTTGCGTTTCACTAGGGGCTATCGACACACACTGACACACAGCACTGCCGGAAACACAATATCGAAAACGACTTCACTCGAAAAACTGCACCTCCTTACCTCGAGCTCACGTCGTTCGTGAGAACTTCACACGTGCCGCCAAACCCCATTGCCACCGCGTCGTCAGGTCCGCCGCACATGTCCAAAACACAACCCGTTATAGCAACAGCATCCCGCAAGGCGTCCACCGCCTCAGGCGAAGTACAGTACCGATCAAACCGCCGGCGTTTGTGGTGCGTGACAGGTTCAGGAGCGGCGCTCCAGGTCCGGCTGTGGCGCGGCGTCTGCTTTGCCTTCCGCGCTACGCGTTCCCTGCTCCGCGCCCACTCGTGCTTCTTGTACAGCTCCAGCAGACAACCCGAACGTTTACATAGAGCGAACAAGTTTGGGCCCGCGGCTCCCGACTGAAAGCCGGGAAACCTGTCTGCTAACCCAGCCTCGTCTACAAAGCTCCGAAGCAATTCTCCTGTCCTAGCCCTAGTCTGCCTGAAGTCTTCTCCGCATTCCAGGCATGCGCTACATCGGCGGCTGCTGCTGCTCTGCATGATTTGTAGGCAGAAAGACCTGTCGAAATTTGGAAGATACACAATCAAGGGCGCGGCCACGTGCGCCATGGATGTTTGGCAAGCTATCCACTACATGATCATCCCATGAACCATGGTCAGCAAGCTGCAAAGCTGTGAGGCACTCAACGTCTGCTGCGTATCAGCGACCGTACCTGTCCTGTTTTCGAGGTTCCGCCGCGTTTTGTAGACAACCCTCGGCAAGGATGATTACGCATCCTGTAGTGCTGATCCGAATTTTTACCAGGGTGTCTTCGATACCTAACCCACCAAGAAGTACAGCCTCCGAGTATCCCGCGATTTGATCAACTCTACGAGGTAGTAACTTGGAGCCGAAGGTGCCCTTCCCAACGCGGCGCAACTAAGTTGAACAATGTCACTCAACACGTTTCCGCAGCTCTTTTCTCTCATTCAAGGGATGAAATGGAACAATGAACCACTCACGGGTGTAGGATGCAATGTTTCTGGGGTTCCTGCAAAGTTTCGTGTCGGTCTCTGCTCTGAGCGTGAAGAACGGTGTGGTTGAGTGAGCCCAGTTGTGCCGGCCGTCGCCGCGGGGCTCCGGCCGGTGGCGTCAACAACGAGGGTACCCTATATTGATTTTTGGCCGGACTTTTCTGCGTTTTGGGCCCCCAGCAACGCCTGTGTTGGGTCGTTTGTCTGCGACCAACTTCTGAACACCAAAACAACAAAAAAACGAAAATCGAACACATATACGACATATGTATTTTAGGTGCCAAATTAATTAATTGATGCGGTGCCAAAAGGCACGAGCACGCAATATGCCACGGGGTACCACGTTTCACACGTTTCGCGCGTGTGGTCGGGGTGTTTACCGCACCAAGAGGTGGGTGTCGCTCTCAAGTTTTTCATCCGACAACCTCATAAAAGGGTCGCTCTCATGTTCCCGATCCTTACGCCATCGTGACCTCAGCACAACTGCAGGGGGTGACGGAGATACATCGTCGAGGCAAAACACCTTTAGCACCGCCGTTTGAGCTGTTGATAAACAAAATTCATTACTCCTCTCCATTCCCGAAGAATCCAAAAGTACGCCACAAAAACGCGGTAAAACTGCCGCCTGCTATCTACATGCAGACCCTCGTTTTGTTTATTAGGCAATAACCCAAAGAGACAGTTATCTGTCCCACACGACCACAATGCCCTTAACAGCTTCCCAAGGAGCTTAGTACCTGACTGCCCCCAAGAAATTGGAATGGGGGGGGGGGAAGCGATTGCAAGCCCCCATCATTAGCCCCCCGGCGCGTCCGGGAGCGCAGCAGCAGTCAGTCTCGCGCGTGGTCTCCAGCCACGCGCACCCCATCGAAAGGCGGCCGCAGCTGGCAGTTTCTGCGCTTGACTGTGGCCGCGACCCCAAACACCTAGACGATCCATACCACAAACGTCCAGTCGTCTCGTCCGTGCGCCCTCCTCTCTTGTATCTTCCATCAAAAAGCATTTTTCTCCCTGCTGTTTGAAATGAAGACAAGCGCAAAGGAAAGCAAAAAATCGATTCCATCACCATCACAACCTCCCGAAGTCTCGGACGAACTTGGCGACGGAATCGAGGAACTCAGGCGCCGAGTCATCGTCCGCCAGGCCATTGGCGACGTTGTAGATGTCGTCCAGCGCCTCTCCGGCCGGCCTCTCGGAGACCGCCTTCAGGAGGCGGTAGCCGGATGGGTCGTCGGGGTCGTCCTGCCACACCGTATACCTCTTGCCGTATTCCCTGGACGCGATTTTTTTGTGTTTCCGGCGTGTTTCGTCGTCGTGGTCGTCATCGTCGTCGTCATTTGTGTTGGTGTTGTGTTCGTTCGCCATGGATGGCGGCATCGCAACGGAAAAGAAGAAGGCGTTCGAGGAGAGGACATTGTGGACAGACAAACACACACACACACACACACACACGAGCGAGGGAAGGCGGCATGTGAGAGGCAGCAAAAGCGTGGCTGGCCACCGTGGGGCACGTAACCGTACGCGTGCGCGCAGGGCGGGAGGTGCGCATGAACAACAGCGGAGGGTGCTACTTATTCCTCGAAAACTCCGCACGATGTTCTCGCTCAGGGAGACTTCAACGAAGACCACATTCTCGGGTGCTTGACCACGTCTGTATGGAACCCAAAAGGTCGGAATACGCATGCAGGCATGGGGGTCCCGGGCGCCGTCATCCAGCACCGCAATAACTACTAAGGTAGGTGTGGGTGAACACGATGGGGCTTGCCCGGTAATTCGGATAACCCGAACCGCGAACAACATGGTAACACACGAAATACGTTGCCAGCGGCCCTTTCAGGGAGGCAGCCGGGCAGGCGTGCCGTAGCTCCGAGGATCTAATAAAATCATAAGCGCAAAAGCAGTAGCAGCAGCAGCAGCAGCGCAGATGCCATGCACAGCAAGAATATGAGGTAATATAAACGGATACGTTTGACTGAAATCGGGAAACACGCGCGACCGCCTGTAGTACAATTGCCCCCCTGGACGTCACCTTTTGTCCTGCTCCAATCTCCCTCTCTATCCCTCGTGTCGATACCACACTCCCCCCCTAAACGCACGCACTTTGTCACAGCCCCCCACGGCAACGTTCTCAAGTAGTAGGTCGTCTGGAAGGTCGAGATGATCTCGTCTCGGATCCTTCTCCCCGCCAGGCCGTAGCCCGTGATCCCCATGTTGATGAGCGCCGGGTTGACCAGGACCATGAACTGCCCCCTGGCCTCGATCTGACAGTGTGAACGACGACGGACGAGGCAAAGAGGGCAGGGAACGAGCGCGTGCGTGTTGACTTTGAGAGTCTAGGTCGCAACGGTATGCGAACACAGTACGAGGTTGGGAGGTTTGCATAGGTCTCGCTTCCATCCCATAAGAGGAGTATCTAGATGTCAGCACCTTTACGTGCATGGTAGGCTTGTCGTGCACCCCACACCTTATACCGTGTGGCTACGGAGTTCCAACAGCAAGCCTGTACACCTTCAAAGGGGAAGTTGTTGGATTGCTCCGGCTTGTGTGAACACGGTTGGGCTCGATTGGCCGGGGAAAGAGGGTGATTTCTTGGCTCGAACACGCGAAAAACACTACCCGTGCTTCTGAGAGACAGAGTGTCAACCATAAGCTGAGCACCGACGGGCGCCGACACATCATGATTTCTCCATACATCGTCTGTCTCATTCCAAGAGCCACCGTGGATCGGTGTCACGACCGAGGGCTCACGCTACAATTAAGAAACACCGAGTGAAAAAAAAAGAAAAAAAAGCGGTGGGCGCTTGGTCAGCATCCAAACCCTGTCGTACGACATCTCAACAAGGCTATTCTCCACAGTCTGCTGTACGAGTTGTGCACCACAGTCCCTCCTTACTCATCTAGCAACGCCTGCAGAAGACACACCTTCTTCACGAGCTCGAGCGCGAAGTCAGCCTCCGAGTTCTGAGGGCACAGCAGAATGCACCCGACGTCCGTGTCTGCCGGCGAGTCCGTCTTCACCGTGCAAAACCTTACCCCAGCGGGCACCTGTCCAACAACGCCCCTCAATCCGAGAGCGGAGAAATAAAACGCCAAGTCAACGCGGGGCTATCCCAACAAGTCAATCGAACGCAGGCAGGGCACCCACCAACCGTTCCGGGAAATGGGCATGGATGACGACTCTCTTTCTCTCTGGCTGGCGAATGTGAGTGTACACGACCTCTTCATGCAACCCGTGCACGGGGTGCGACGATGGTGTCAACGTAAGACAGTAGGTCCAATCAGAGCTCAGCACTAAGCTGTGGGGTTTGCAGGGCCCCGTCCGTTCGAACAACACCCCCGCCCTTTCTCCTGTTTGTTTTTCTCTTGTTCTTCGCCCCCCCAAAAAACGTCACCTGCGCATTCTCGGTGCCAGACCCCCACTCGAACTTGGCGAGTGCCGCCGAACCGGCATCCGGGAAAAATAAAGCCAGCGTTTGCCCTGTTGAACCACGTCGAACCAAAGCTACAAAGGTTTCAGTCCGCACAAGGTCAGCCCTTTCTTCATTCGCGCGGTGTGGGTCTTTTGGAGAAAAAAAAGGCTTAGGCCGCCAACAGGATACACGGGACCCAGCAGGGGGATAGATAGCTCGCCCCAGGCATGATTGAGGGTCGCGAAAGCGGTCCAAGCTGTAGCTGTTGAATGCCGCCGGTCACACGCCAAGCGCTCACGGTACAGCCCTTCAGATGCGGAGCAGCACGACCAGCGTTAAACGCTAATTTCAAACCATCTTCGGGAAAGGGAAGCCTCTGATCGTGTGGGTGTTCATGATGTGTTTCGCACAACGAGGAAAAAATCCAAAGGCAACAAAGCTGAAGTGACCGCAACAGTCGAGAAACAACCTACGGTAGTCATCAACAGCGTAGGTCGGCGGCTTCACCGACAGAAACACCACCAACATGCCCACCCGTCCGCTCCCACCTGTTCCCTCCTCCCCCCCCTCAACTCCTTCCCCGCCGCAGATGAGGGCCTCGGCCAACAGCTTCGTGAGCTGCTTCGCCATCTCCAGGCTGGCCTTCAGCTTGGTGTAAGTATCGTCCCCGGCAGAGGTGTCGAAGTCCACTCGTAGGCGTTTTTGTCCCTGGCGTTTGTGGCGGCAGGCGTTGGCACATGTCCTCTTCACACCAACACCAACAGCACCCCGGGATTCGAGAGCCCGTTCCTCTTCCGTGACATTCCAATCTTCTACCGAGGAACGACTTTCGGCAGTCGCAGGCTAGCCTGATTCAAAACTTACGCAATGCACCGGAAGCCAACCAACACGCCCGAAAACTCGTTTTGCATGCGCACCCCAAGAACAACGAGTTCATCAACAAGTGGACGGGGTCACGCAGCCAAACGAGCACAGGATATTGCGTCCATGTCCGTTCCGATGAATCGCAGACGTCCAGCAGGCTGTCTGGCGGAAAGGCGCTGGACTTGACCCCCCAAGTCTGTGATACCTATACCACATGGTTGACTGAGCTGGGAAGACCAACACGACGACGTCGTCAACCGTGGAAGCATGCCCTGCTCCGGTGCAGTTCAAGCATGCATGGTGCGCAGTAGCCATGCGGCAGCTGGATGTACTGCCGTCAACACAGCGCCCTACTCAACAGCGACCACCCATCAAGCCAGCTACCTGCCACTACCAATGTACTGGTACACTATAGGGTAATGGGGGTAGTTATTTAAATTTAGAACACGGACGAGAGACGCAGGGCGGCAGAAATGTTTGTGCAGACAAACACAGCAGCACGACACGCGGTAGACCTGCCGACTATGAGAGCCCTCCTCTTATGTCACAACACCAGGCACATTGTGGTAGCATTGCATGCTCTTAAGCTGCACACGGTTGGGCAAACGAATCCTGTACAGTCGACCCCGCTTAAGGGACGCACATGGTTTATCCCGAAAAAAAAGCGTCCTTAAAAGCGGGGTTGCGTCCTTCGAATTCAGGGGACGATGGCTCCCCATCCCCGTGGCCAATGGAGGAATGCTATACCTCAAACTACGCGTCTTTTGCTAAGGAGCGGTGTGGTATGGAAGGCATTCGCCGAGACGACTGGCAACCGTTTGTTGACGTCGAACACATGTACAATACTAAAATTGAGATGTACAGCAGTCGAAGACGTGCCGAAAACATGTAACTACAGTACAGAAGTTTTTACTTTTCCAACCAATGTACTGCATAGCCGGCAGCGGAAGGAGGAAAGTCCAAGTAGACATATATTTATCCCATTCTTCTGAAACAAGAAAACAACGAGCGTATGTCAGCGTCGCACCGAGGAACACCAGCATCTAATAAGTGTCCCGGCGCAGACCAAAAGCTACCCTTGGGCGACTTTTCCCGCCACATACCGCAATGAATTCCCTGAACCTCCCCCCGCGGCTTGGCTCTACGGCTCTGTTGAGTTTCATGAGTATACGAATGAACGGTCTTCGAAAGAAGGTACTGCGTCTCAAGGTACTCGCCGCCGCTTCCCTTCGCGTACAAATAGGATCGAACGTCCTCCAAGCGAGAGACAACCTCGCCCTCGGTGAACGACGAGGTTTTGCACGACTTTTTTTTTGGCGGCATCAGATGGACCGAATGGTAGATGGGAGACATCTATCCATATCAACACCCAGCTACAGCTGCGGCAGCAGGCCGCTCGCTACTTCCGCTGTCTGTGCGTCGCTACTTCTGCACTCACTGTGGTGCGTGGTGCATGCTAAGAGCGGCCCGCAGGACACAACAAAGGGGGGTACGCGGCAAAAAAATGGGGTTACCCCATCATCGTACATTCTGCCGGGCCCCCTGGTGCTCAGCTTAAAAAGTCTCCTTGAAGCGGAGAGTTTCCTCAACGCGAGCGTCCTTAAAGCGGGGTCGACTGTACTTAGTAGGAGTACAAGACACGTAAAGAATGTCAAAAGTTGCAAATGTTGATCATGCGAACGTTCCGTATCTCAAGCAGGCAAGCAGGTGCGGAGTGAAGCTGATCGCAAAGAGCAGCTGTAGATACAGATTTTGATACCGCGGCAAAGATCTACCTGTGATCTTCCCAGAGCGCGCCTAGCCAACGGGAAGGTGCCGGCACAAAACATGTTGCAACGTCGCAACGCTGGTTCGGAGTTGTTGTTGTTGTTGTTTCTCACATTAGCTCGATAGTCCACAAAAAATGGGGAGCCCGTGGTCTCAACACCCGGCACATACAACGCCGCGCGGAAACAAAACAAAAATAGGGTACAAACCACTCGGAAAAAGAAAACAAAATAGAGTGTTTGGTGCCCTCTCGTTGGTCTCAACCCGAGAAACATCAAGTGCAACTTGCTCTATTTTCTTGTATTGTTTTTTTTTGCAAGAAATGCACTTCTTTCATTTCCTTGCAAGCCTGCCGTAATATACCATCTCTCCAAAGAAACGTTCCTCATTCCCCAACGCATCATATCTCCATCATGAACATGTGCTCCTTGTCCTCCCGCGTGTTTGGTCTACCCACGTTGTTACCTCCTCCATGCACTGCAGGGTTGACCGACCCATGCGCACGATCGAGTCCTCGAAAGAATCGGGTAGCTCAGTCACGAAGGGATCTCTGCTTCCGTCTTGTACTCCTCCCATCGCTTCAGCAGCAGCAGAAGCAGAAGGGACTTCCGGCGACGTCGACATGCAAGCCCTCCGGCGGCGAGCCACAGCAGTGCCACTAATGCTGCTGCTGTCCCTGAAGCAGGAAGATGATGAGCGTCTCTGGTGGCTTGGGCTTAGCCATCGGGCTGCGGAATTCGCCACAAACGCCGCTGAGTGAGGGAGGACACAGGCGGAAAAGATGCCCAGGGTCACGACCGACAGGCGTTGAGACCCAGGCATGATGCTACCGTTGCACTGCTGAAGTTGTCGCTGTCTTTCGTACTTCCTGCTTCACAATCCTTCGCAGGCAGGGGGTGCGTGAACATGAATAAGGTAACCCGTGTATACGTGCGTCCAGGTTCTCCGACGGAGATTCTGCTGACGTCGCGAGAAACTCGCCGCATATTTCGAGAAGGCATCATGTTCTTCAGACGAACGACAAAACGCCACACCCCCACGCCCCACCGGAGCACTACCTATTGCGCGAACGGGCAAGAGCAGGCGTATCGAGAGGGGAAGCGAGACACGAAAAAGGGGAACGTGAATCTTCACTACAACACTCGCGCAAATGTGAGAACTCGCGCACTTCAACACCTCTGCTGCTCTCTTGAAAAGCAGTGCTGTTGCACAACAAGGAGTCCATAGTCCAGAATGCGATCTCGGCCGAATTAATTGTACTGATGCGTGAGACAGAGACCGCCTGCAGCAAAAATGGTGATGGAGCAACGGGGCGACCAAGGCTCGCCTGCAACAGTTTTTTGCAGAGCAACAGTATCGCCCAGGTACTATTACATAGCTTCGGTCTGTTCCTGTGAGTCCATCATGTCCCTGTGTGTCTGTCACCTTTGCCACGAAACTGTTTGATACAGCAGTCGACCCCGCTTTGAGGACGCTCGCTTCAAGGAAACTCCCAGCGTAAAGGAAACTTGCTTTTTTCAGCACCAGGGGGCCCGGCAGAATATAAGATAATGGGGTAACGTCATTTTTCTGCCGCGTACTCCCCTTGTTTGTGTCCTACGGGTCTGCGGGCCGCTCTTTGCACGAACCACATACTTAGAGCAGTAGTGAGTACAGAAATAGCGACGCACAGACAGCAGAAGCAGCTCGCGGTCTGCAGCTGCAGCTGCAACTGGGTGTTGGTATGTATAGATTCTTAACATCTACCGGCGGTCCATCTGATGCCGCCAGAAAAACACTTGTACGTAAACTCGTCCCTCACCGAGGGCGAGGTTATCTCTCGCTTGGAGGACGTGCGATCCTACAGATAGCGCCCGCAGTCAAGAAACGTCAAAATTGGATCGAGCCTCAGTCCCTCCTTTTGGGTCGAAGTACCGGCCCATGTCGTCCATTTTCGTAAATGACATTTCTTCTTCCTTTGGACTGCCGCATCCTCCCGATTCTCGGATTCCTTGGACTACAACAAGTACTTCGTATTTTCTGTATCCTGTCTTTTGGTCTCTGAGGACAATCCGCATCATCAAGCCCTCAAGAGAGGTGGTGGAGAGTGCCATCAAACCCGTACAACAGCGGAGAGCGTATGGTTGATCGCGATATGTGGCAGAACTACAGTACAGCACTCACTGTGAACAGCAGGGGCGCGCGGAGGGGGGGGTGGACTCTGCCCCCTATAACAAAAAATGCACTTCTGTTCAGCTTGGTAGGGGGGTGGGAGCACCGCAGATTTCTGATGTCATGGGGGTATGGCACCATGATGTTTCTTATTGGGGTGTTTCTTGCGTTGTAGCCGAGAGTGAACTAAATATGTTTCTTAACCCTTTTTTCTTATTTTTCGTACAAACTTGACCCTTTTTTGCTTGACAGAATTTTTCTTAACTGCGGGCGCTATCTGTACGCGAATAGGAAGGGGTGGCGAGTACCGTGAGACGCAGTACCTTCTTTCGAAGACCGTTCATTCTTTTACTCATGAAACTCAACAGAGCCGTAGAGCCAAGCCGCGGGGGGAGGTTCAGGGAACTCTTCGCGACATACATATGGAAGGAAAAGCCATCCAGGTAGCATTTGGTCTCCGCCGGGACAGTTGTTGTTGTTGTTGTTGTTTCTCACATTAGCTCTAAAAAAGGAAGATTGGGAGCCCGTGGTCTCAAAACCCGGCATACACGACCCCGCGAAGAAACAGAAAAAAATAGGGTACAAAANNGAGAAAGAGCGTCGAGGAGACCGATCAAAATAAAATAAAAGGAGAACGGGGAACGCTTCCCACACCCGCCTACAACGCCGGAGGGTTCCGTGCCAGGTTCCCGCCGACCAGGCATCCCCCGCCCTGCACCACACCCCAGGGGGTGCAGCAAGACGGGGGGCGAAAAACAAACACATACATATTCCCACAAAAAAAATAAAAAATCGAAGGGCAACGTACACCAGTACCAGGTACAACAGCCGNTGGTGTTCCTCGGTGCGACGCTGGAATACGCTCGTTTTTTTTTGTTTCAGAAGAATGAGATAAGTATATGTCTACTTGGACTTTCCTCGTCCTTCCGCTGCCGGCTATGCAGTACATTAGTTGGCCAAGTACAAACTGATGTGCTGTAGTTGTTTTCAACACGTCCCCGACTGCTTTAATCCTCATTTAAAGTATTGTAAATATGTTCGACATCAACAAACGGTTGCCAGTCGTCTCGGCGATGCTGACTTTTCGTATTACCCCCTTCCTTAGCAAAAGACGCGTAGTTTGAGGTAAAGCATGCCCCCATTGGCCCCGGGGATGGTGAGCTATCGTCCTCTGAATTTTATGGACGCAACCCCACTTTGGGACGCTTGTTTTTCGGGAAAAACCGTGTGCGTCCCTTAAGCGGGGTCGACTGCACAGGGACAGTGGACGGCAGTGGTGACTGCTTTTTGTTGTCTCTTGTACATGTCCCATCGTGTGTCGCCCAGAGACGGGCACCCCATGCGTGCGAGAATGAGCCATACGCTTACGAACACGGCAGCCGGTGTGTCGCCGGGGGGTGCATTGCTGTAAAACGGGCCCAAAGGACATGGGGTTTTGGAGAGCCTGTTTCCCACACCCAAACTGTCGAGTAAACCTGCGACGCTTTGGAGTGGCCGGTTGAGTGTTTGCAGTCGTTACTCGGACACGGCCAGTGAGTTCTTCGTTATTCCTGCGAAAGCCACATGTACCCGCGACCATCAACTGAATTTTTTCTTTTTAGGTGCGAGCATATACGGCACGACCAGCGTTCCCGTCATATGGGGTGCGCTGGTGCGGGAACGCACTTTTTTCTCGGAAAATATGGAAAAGCGCACCACGGGGTGCAGGCCCTGGTGCGGCATTCCGCACAAAAAAAAAACCTCCGCATTTGTTTTCGCCGAAGTCGAGAAAAAGATTGGGGTCTTTTTTGTTTTGCCGAAGGCGAGAAAAATTTTTGGGAGGCTCTGATTTTGTGCCGAAGGCGTGAAAACTGTCACATTTGTCACAGTTTCGCTGGGAAACAAGGCATATTATGTCTCAAAATAGGTGCAAAACACAACAATGGCAATTTTATGCTGTTTTTGAAATATTTTTTGCAAGAAATACGTCGAATATCGTCCACAAAATTCGCCTCCGGCGACTCCTCCGGCGGCCCCTCCGGGGAAGCCACTAAGCCGCAACAAGGGCCTGCGGCCCTGGCGGGAACGCTGGGCACGACTTTCAGGTTACGCAGACTGCCATGTTTTTGCTTCGTGTAGAGATTACCGTAGGGGACACTATCACACCACCTGGACTGGTTGTCAAAGCACAATTGCTCCACGACGGAAGGAGATGTATACATCACGACGAAACGGCTCCAACGCCGCCATTGTCGGCACAGCTACATAGAGTTGTGCCCGGGTTCGAAAAAGTGGAACAGCTTACCCTGTGGGGTCTTGCGGGTTGGCCCGGGTGTTCGGGGGCGCCGTGTATGTATATGCGGGGTACCATGCTTCCGTGGGTGCCGTGTCACCAAAACCAGCCTTGTGAATATCACCATGTACCCCCCGGATTTGTTGTTGTTGTTGTTGTTGTTGTTTCTCACATAAGCTCTATAGTCCACAAAAAATGGGGAGCCCGTGGTCTCAAAACCCGGCACATACGACGCCGCGGGGAAACAAAACAAAAATAGGGTACAAACCGGACCGACCGTTCGAGAAAAGAGCCCTCGGAAACCGATCAAAATATATCAAAAACAGAAATAACGGAGGACGCTTCCCACACCCGCCCAAAGAAAAATCAAAGGGTAACGTACCAGCACCAGGCACTACGCACCAGGGCATGGGAGTAACGGAGCAAACAGGACAAAGAGGCGGCAGATGGGCAGACAGCCAGACGTACAAAAACAAAGGCAACAGCAAAGCGAGATCACGGTACCCAACACAGCAGAGTAGGCAGGGAGGTCATGAAAAAAATAAACACCCAACACAGGACAGAGGCCGAAGGCAATACAAAGGACATACATAAAGGAGTATTGCATACAGCAGGGAGGGAAACAGGGCGCAACAGCATCAGCCGGGTACATAGTTCGCCACAAGTGCTGCCTCGGCCGCCCTACTCGCTTCTACAGCACTGCCCGGTCGCCGTTTCTTCCCCCCCACCGCCGCTTCCCCTGCTCTCTTTCTCTTCGGTCCTGAGGCCGTACTCTCTGCTTCTGCTTCCCTCGCGCGCTGGCGCTTCGCGGACGCTTCCGCCTCCTGCCTGTGCCATTTCCTCACGAACCATGCCGCCCCGTCCTGGACCTTGTTGTACCACACCTCCCGGTCCTTGGCGCTCTCTTTCCGTCTACCCCCTTCCTTTTCGT